ACAAGAATCATTTGAATTCTTGTTAAGAGTAGAAACAAGTTAAGCTGAAATGAAAATTTCAGTTATGTAAATGAGAAAATTACAATGACCCGGTGGTACTCAACGTATTAATATCATTATCGCATAACGGCACTATGTTTGTTTACAACGAAATGTGCATTTATTTTACTAAGCGAAAAATTAACAGGGCTAGATTTGTTCATCTGCGTATTATTTTTTATAAGACTCTCTCAATAGTTTGAATCAACTGACTGTCACTTCAATTTATTTCTTAAATTGAATATTTTTTAATTAGTGACTAAAAATGATATCACTTCATATATGCAGTTGATTGCTTGGTGTTTCGAAATGTTTCACTGGTAAATTCAAAGTTCAGTTCCGTGAGCTCTTCCAGTTACTAATCGGTATTGAACTCACCAATAGAGGAAAACATTCACGCTTGAAAAATTGCCTTGCTATGAGGTTGTTTACATGATGTGCTGCACACAGAATGCGACAGCGCTCAGAAATGATCTTATCAGTCCTTACATTCCTTTGTTTTAGGCAGTCGTACGATGGATAGTAATCTCATCATAATTTTAAAGCCATGTTTTTTTTCTAGAATTCACTCATAGATGGTCGTTATTTAATTTCATTTTCTTCGTTTATCGATGGGGAGAAAACGAAATTTGAGAAACGATCATCCTTGCGATATAAGTTCCGGCAAATTATCTCAGAAACAATTCTGTGTTCAAACTTTTTCCTCCTGAAATATGAATGGAAAAGAGGAATTGTAAAAGAAATTGATAATATTGAATTTATTATCAACATATTAAACCTTGCTTAATTTAACGTACGTCTGAAAGTTTTCTACGATTGATTTAGATTGTATAGCTCTTATGTTTATCTTCCAGAAATTCCAAAAAAAATGAAGAATATCCTTCTGTAATATTTCTTGGATCGATGATAACCACTTTTGCATGAATTCTTAGTCATTTCTATCGGTCTCTTTACAATAGTTAATAAATTTGATTAATCTAGGAAATATTGTCCGAATTTGTTGTGATTTTGCAGCAAAAATTTTTTGCATGAAAGAATATTTCTAAATGATATTTTCGCAAGAGATGTTACAAAAAAATCTGGATGTAGCTTTTCGTACCATATTTGTGTTCATTTCCTATCTAATCAATACTATTATTGCTTGATGAATACTATTATTGCAATGATGTCTCATAGGAAAATATTGTATTGTTGTAGAAACTGCGTAATACTATATGTTTGAAAGAAAGGGTGCGAAATTTGCATAACATTTGTTATTCTGTGCGTTTAATTCATTTATTTCTGTTGAGATAAGTAGATTATGTTGTATATCCAGTGTATGAACTAGTTTTATTTGTAAGTTTCTATTTCTTTAGTACGGAATCTATTGTTAATTGCAACTTTTCCTTCTGATAACTTGTACGATACAATTTTTTCCATGAAAAATGATCGTTTGTTTTTGAATAACTTTTGATTTATATTTCTTAACTTTCTTTCAATCTATTTTTTCATCGCCACCAAGAATTCAAGCAAAAGAAGAAAACAACTCGCTGTTTTACATAGTAGAGCACTTCAGAACGGTTATCGTAGCATATGAAATATGAAATGAAAGATTCTATCTTAACCTGTATCATTTTTTTATCAGATACCGACTGTTGAAGATTGGAATACTTGATAGATAACAATGTGGCATATTTAGTTTGGTTCTTTAAAGGGTATTTGTTTTGCGCCATAGAAACAATATCACATTATTGTATTCGTAGCATTTGAAAGTTTGCTAATAAATGATCTCATCATAATAATCTGTTGATTAAACTTATTCACCTGTCTGTTGTGCTAGAATAATATTTAAAATATTTGTTTAAATAGTTTTTATTTTCTTCCTTGATCTGAATGCCAGCAGCATAGAGGGAAGAGAAAGATTTTAAAATTCCTCCATGAATTTGTCCATATATATATATATATATATTATTCTCGTTCTCTTTGCTCACTCTTAGTATTATAACTGCTTAAATTTACTTGTTTTTCAATTATAAAGCAAATTTATGATAATTACCATTAAGAACTCATATTAATTGCCTCATATATATAGCCAAAGTTCGATTCTCGTTAACAACCTTTTTCTGTAATTTCTCAAGCTAAATTCTTTTAAAACAATTATTTCCGAAGCTATTTACTTTTTTGGAATTTCATTGTTTCCTGTTCTTTCTCAGTGTACTTTTTTCCCCTGCTAAATTGCTGTCGAAATATTGAACTTTTAAATGTCTGAATTACTCTACAATCCAGACCGTTGCAAGTACATTTATAATAATTTCTCTCACCTTTTTTTCTCATCAATTTCCAAACATCCGTAGTCTTCTTTTACGCCAAGGTAGGAGTAGTAATTTTAATAGATTAAAATCAAATGATCATATTCATACACACAAATCTTGTCACTAATGGATACGCTACCGGTAATTCATTTTGCGGCACTGACTGCGTGTATTTCTTAATATTATTCTATCAAGTGCACAATTTCTATTAACTTCGATATTTACGAATTTAAAGGCAGAAGCTTGCGTGACGTATTCGTAATTGCAAATTTACGCTTAACATACGTAGAATAGCATTTTGACATATCATGTTTCCACTGTTTCATCGCATATAAACAAGGTGGAAAAAGGAGAGAAGGAAAGGCGATGAGTTTACATGAAATTGAAAGTTTATTAAAGATCCATTTACCGCTTTTTCTTTCTCCTTGTGTTTTGAGCTTCATCCTACTGAAAAGAAATAGAGTAGAAGTTTAATTCCACTGTTTGATCGCTTTTCGTCCATATTTTACAAGTTCGTTTTCATTTATGGTTTGAAAGTTCGAAAATTTTTCAATGCATTCATTCATTTCTCTTTTTCCTTCGTTACTTTTACCGTTTCTATTTCAGTTCTGTTTATTTTTATGACAGTGAATATCGAATTTCATCTTTCTTTTATGATTTTTAGTGCGAAATGGCTTAGTGTAAAATTATTTGAAGTTAGGAATAATTAAACTTGGATATAAGATTATCATTATGCAGAAATAATTGTAAAATGTTTTTTAAAATAATAAGATATGTAACATATTTAATATAAAATGCTTTTTCATCATTCAAACGATTGTTTGTTTGAATAGTCGTAAGGAATTGTTAGGAGTTTACAGATGAAGCATTGGTATTACTATTTACGCATTACTATTTACGATCAATGGATATAAAATTTGGTCGTATGTTTATTAGAAAAATATAATCTTGTCCATTAATTAATAAATGGAATATATGAAAATCTAGTAAAGAACTATTTAATTAATACATTCCATTTGTTAATGGACAAGATTATATCATGATTTAATGTTAGACATCAAATTATTCCAAATTGCAGTTGATAAGAAATTAATGATCAAAATAAGAGCAGTAATTTAATCTGGAATCTTGAATTATATAAGATTGCTAACTAACGAAATAGATTCTGTAAACTATGATATTGTACGTAGAAGTACGTATAATATAGAGTAGCGATGAGAAATCGATATTTTGATATGGTAGCGAAGGGCAGGACGCATGGGCACTGAGAAAGTTTGTGATAGTTACAAATACTAAATCAATAAATGATAATAATAGAGATTATTCATTCTACCGGATGATGGATGAGATTACTTTGGAACATGTCTACTATATATTTCTACTATAAGCTTAAAAAATAAGACTTTAAAAATTAATCATCAGTTTGTTTGTAGAAATTTGGAGAGAAAGTTGTGAAATCGGTATATTTTTTTTAGGCGATACATTGTATCTGTGATTTATTTCACACAAAAATCAGTGTTTTACTGGCCTCGAACAAACTCAAAAATCAGTGATTTACTGGCCTTGAATGATTAAATGGGAAAAAAAAGGTATTTTAACAACTAATATCCGGCATGTGAATGTGTGTATAATTGTTTTTATGACAAGAGGATTGGTAACTGATCCATACGATTGGAACTTTGTGATATAAAACTGTTAGACTTAATTATTAAATTATAGCTCATCATTTTGTACCATAGACTTATGGCTGGCTAATGGCTGTTGAATAAAAAAATAAGTGAATAAGACAGCATTTTCGAGCTGGCGTTTTTAGGTAGAGAGGGATTGGGGGAAGGAGGGTCAACAAATGTGCTGCCAGCGATTGAAGTTATTTCTTTTTTTGACATTTCATGAGCTTCCTTCACTATGACGTGTTAGTCTTATTATTAACAAAAAATTTTCAGTATTGCTATCATCACAGTTTCTATTTTTGATCTGGTTGATTTATTTGTTCCGCATCCGGAATCTATTTATTTATATGAGGCATGATACATAATCTAAACTGATAGTATAAGCTTAGATACTTATATTTTAACTTGCTGAGGGATTAATAGTGCACATGGATATAAAAATAAGGTATATGTATCTATATGAACTTTTTAATTCATTGAATTATTATTCTTTGAGTTATTACTCATTGATTAATTGAGTACAAACTGCGATTTTTGGTTCAGTTGTTGTTAAATTAATAGCCGTATTAGGACAGCGTAAATTTGAAGTATCGAATAGAAACTAAGAGATAGATGGCAAAATATCAGTGTTAAATGACATTTTGATTTATCTGCTCAAACGCTGCTTATGGTGAATAAGTCGTAATGGTAATTGACCTATCAATAAGGCCTTGTCATTGGTCATCACTGATTTACTTCCATTGTTTTATCATGATGATAAATTGGAATGAATACTTGGAAGATTCTGTTAATAAATTTTACTTGAATGTATATATTTCGAATCAAATTTTCTGAGCTATCGCTATTCATCGGTGTTTCGACGACATGTAAATATGTTACTAATGACTTATCATACAGTTGATTTGTGCATTATTAAAGTGAAAGGATTTTGTTGTTTTAAATTCCAGAACTGAAAACAAAAGCTATGTTCAAATTATCTATTGGATGATTTTAATGCACAATGGTTTTAGTTTCCGTCATTGGTAGAAAAATGCCGCTTAATGTGAGGTTATTATCATCTGGATTTTATGTATTATTAGGTGTCATTATTGGATTTTCTCTGTCATTTCTATCTCTGTCGGGTAAGTTCTCAATTTCGCAAATATATATTGTTTGATGTAAATATTTACGCAGAAATTATATCCTTTAACTGCATTAAAATTGTCTGTTGGACACCTTACATCTAACACGAGCTAGTCGGATTTCTTCAGGTCAGGACCTATTTCCTGTAAGATTAGCTTTGAAGCACGAGATGAACCTTAGGGGTCAAGAAGTAACAGCTCCTCACCATTGGTAATTTACTTATTAGTTGGAATTTTATTATCTTGAATTTTATTGTTATAGAAAGTTTTCCTTTCTTGAAGTTTTATTTGTTTTTATTTGGATTATTTTAGTGTCCTCAAAAGTTAAAAATTTTAACTGATGAAAGAAAAAATGACTTTAAATTACCTCCTTCTGAGAATTAACCATAATAAAATAAAAGTACTAATCTTGATTTATCTCATATTCTTTTCTTTTATCAGGTAACTATATTGTAACTTCACCGATGACTCGGCTAGCAGCTAAGCAAAATGCTGAACGGATTTTCGAGCACTTTGATGATGCGCATAATGAATGGGAAGTTGACGATAGTGGTGCACCAACTGCTCCGATATATTTCCATGGAAATGGAACCAATCTACATAGCGGTATTTCCTTATCTCTGAAATTATAGTTTATTTATCTTGAATTCTTAAAAGAGGTCTAGTTCAGATTTTGTTTTTGCTTCACTTTTCCAGTCTTTTAAGATTATCTAAGGCTTTCGAAATTTTCACTAATTAAAGATGATGATTCTGTGGCGAAATTATTGGAATCAAAAGTACGAATATTCTGCTGGATATTGACGGGAAAGCAGAATCATGAGAAGAGAGCAAGACACGTGAAAGCGACGTGGAGCCGACGTTGTTCAAAGTAAGTTAAATGCACATTAGTTACCGCAACACGCAGTGGCTATGGGATTATTATTTTATTCATGTACCCTTTTACTAGCAGATTTGAATATTCTTTAAAAAAATTTATAATGTTTAACCTTCGGAGCCTGAAGTTAAACAATTAATTCGTTTCGCTTATCAGAAAAATGAGGCAATAATTGATTGACAGATGACAAAATCTAAAAAATGTGGTTGGTATTAATGGCAATGGGACAGAAAAGAAAGAAATTTCATTTGTTTCTTTTCTTCATAATGTTTGGCATATAATTCTACGCTTCAAATTTATCATAGCAAAATTTATCTGTGCTAAGGAGTTGTAGGTAGCTATGAAAATTATTTTAATTTCAAATTGCAAATATTTTCAATCATAGGTACATATTTATGTCTTCCGAAGCAGATCCATCCTTACCGTCTATAAATTTAAACATATCAGAAGGTCGTGATCATTTATGGGCCAAAACGAAAGCAGCATTTAAATATTTGCATGATTTTTACCTTGACGATTATGATTGGTTTATGAAAGCGGACGATGATACTTATGTTATCGTAGAAAATTTAAGGTTTATTTTTATTTTTGTGCATTCTTCTTATTTTTCAATTATTCATAGATTTTGAGAAGCGTCTCTTTTTAGATTATCTTATTATTTGTTATTATTTAATTTGACGTGCTTAATTTTATTTCATTTTGCAAGAAAATCTAAACATGCAAATGGCGAAGAATTTGTCGGAAAACATGAAAGTAGAAAATAAAAAGGGTGAGAGTAACAGTAACAATACATTTATATATGATATTCTATTTCAGGTTTATGCTGTTGGCACATGACCCAAATGAACCGGTTTGGTTTGGCTGTAAATTTAAACCCTTCACGAAGCAAGGTTATATGAGTGGTGGAGCTGGTTACGTACTTTCTAGAGCAGCTCTTAAAAAATTTGTCACCGAGGCACTTCCGGTAATTTAGTCTTACTTAGACGAGTAGTGTTGAGTGATCAGATGATTAAAATGTTCAAGAAGATATCTAATTGACTAAGAAAATATCTGATTAATTGGTTAGAGCATTGATTTATGATTTAATTATTTATTAAGGTAAATTGTTCTTGCGGAGAGACCAAAAATTATATTGGTATCATGAGAGAATTTTATTTGACTTCCATTAAACTTTTCGAAGACATTATTATTTTAAAATCACTACTTTGGAGCGAAATTAAGGATTTCAACAAGTGTAAGAAAAGTGAAGCTGGTGCAGAAGATGCAGAAATTGGAAAATGTTTGGAAAAAGTTGGTGTAAAAGCAGGGGATTCAAGAGATGCTGAGGGCCACCATAGGTAAATAATTATTATGAAAGAGATGTTAACTTGATAATTCTACAATAAATAGTTGTGCTTGATGACTTATGATAAGTTTTTTAATTGAAATAATAAGAAGATATACCAATGTTTCAGGTTTTTACCATTTGTACCGGCACATCATTTGACGCCAGGGCATCTAGATAAAAAATTCTGGTTCTGGAAATATACATATTATCCTATAGAGCAGGTTTATTTCTTTCATATTCACATCATCCTGTTACTGATCTTCAATCGGTTCCTACGAAGTACCTCATAATTTGTTCTGACCTTTCAGTGTTTTTTGATCTACTGTTTAGTTAGATCAAAGACATTCTAGTCCTTATTTAAAAAGTAAAATCTCTGATAATGCTCCTTATCGTTTGCTGTATTAAAGGAAATGAAATTTTTTAATCTAGTTTCATTTGATTAGCTTTAATGTTTTTGAAGATCAGTTTTACATATTTAGAGTTTTATATCTTTCTTGGTCTAACACTCAACATTCGCAAATTACTATTTTTCTGTACAGGGTGCAGAATGCTGTAGTGATTATGCAATATCGTTTCATTATGTGAATCCTTCATTGATGTACGTCTTGGAATATCTTGTTTATCATCTGCGACCTTTCGGTTAGTTCAGTTCTACAAAAAAAAAAATGATTTGTACTTAACGTACCCAGGATTTCCTAGATATCTGTATTGTTTAACTAAAACTCCGATTAATCGAACATAGTGCACGCTGAACTATACATTTCTGGTTCGAACTCTGATTAAATTTTTCATGAGTGAAATTTTTTTCTTAGTTTCAGAAATATTTTAATATAAGGTTGTACAGACAGTTTTTTGGATTCCCTACATTTGCCTGCCTTTCATTTATTAAAGTTAGAGATTTAAAATCCTTGATTTTAAGGTATTACAAAACGACTGAATTCACAATCCATAGTAGCGGCATATCATTTGGCGGTGAAGAATATGGGCCCAGATGATGTGTTCAAAAAAGTACTTGCTCCAAATAAATCGACAGTTTTGGTTTCGCAAAAGTCGGGCATTCCACCAAAACTATCACCGAAAGCGGAAAATATGACAGAGAAAAAAGCAAAGAGGTAATGATTTTGGCTGGCAATGTCCGCAAAAATGACGAAGGATCAAGAAAAACAATAGCATCAATGAATGTATTTATATCTTTTACTGCTTCATGTTAAATTTGAAGGTTACCTCTGGACAGTAATATACACTCATAGAAAACCTTGTTAGAAAGGATTGAAATACATAGGCAGAGTTTATAGTCATGCACGTTCAGTTGTGCTTATCCTTGCCCAGCCTTTTTCTTCTCCTTTGATGTCGTTGATAACCCAAAGAATGACATACCTTGTTGAGAATAATTTCTTTTCTCGTTTTCATTCGTTCAAGATCTCATCCAGTTTTCTTTTTGTTATTCAAATTTTCCATCACAATGAAATAAACGGAATATAGCGGATAACTATATGAATGGTCTTGATTTGTGATTTATTATAGTAGTTATAGGTAACAAAAGCCCATCTATATGCATACTATTATTTGTTTTAGATTTTTTTAATATACGGGTTTTCAATTTAATTGGTCATATTTTTCTTTGAATCCGTTCTTTCTATTTTCTTGTCTTTTTTTTAGCTTCTTATATCATAATCATAATAACATTTTTATCTCATAATTATAATCATTATTAATTTATTCTATTTGTTTCAACGATTATTTGTTTTGTACTTCAATAATCGTAGTAAATTTTGTTTCATTTCTTGACAATTTTTTAAATGATTTTTGATTATGAATTACATGAAGATTTATAATTATTACTACGAAATTAATTGATATTTTTCACAATCTGGTATTTCTTGCAGTTAGTCATTTCTTCTATTCATTATTTGTTATGTCATCTCTTCATTTGTTTGCCTGTCATTTATTCTTCTTCATTGTATGTATCCGTTTGTTGCCTATTGCTTTAAGGATTGAACAATTTTTCATTCTTATCTTTCGCCCCGTGTGTTATTTTTCTTCTTTGTTTGGAATTAGATCTTTATTTATGCCTTCATGTATTTACATATATGGTATGAGCTTCTTTTCATATTAAAAGAAATACAATGTACATCAAATTTTTGGCCTTTTAGTACCAGCAAAATCGAAGATGTTTGGTGTAATTAATTTATATATTTCAACGTAAAAGATAAATTCTATCAATTACTTTGATTTTTACAGTAATTAATTCATATATTTCGAAACAGTTAATGTGAAAGATGAATTCCATCAATTGCTTTGATTTTTACAGTAATTAATTCATATATTTCGAAACAGTTAATGTGAAAGATGAATACCATCAATTGCTTTGACTTTTACAGTTATTTTTTATGCTTGAATATGCTACAGCCAGCACTTGGCTCTTAAGATGATTCTTATGAAGGAGAAGTAAAGATTTATTCTAGTGGAACGGTATGTTTATATGTTTTTATTGTAGTTATGGGTGGATTCGTTTGTTCTGGAATTTGGCTTGTATTTTTTCTAAGTAGAACGATAGAAATTGTTCATTTCATTTGTTTGATTTATTGTTAATATAGAAAAATGATAAAGAGAATTTAAAATTAATATTTGATGTTTCTTAGGCCTTTGTATGCATAACGCATAATTCTCTGTTGGGGAATAAATCTGTTTGCCTCCGGAAAAAAACGTAATCTGATCTACGTATATAATTAAAGATGTCATAAAATAACTGAAAACTATAGGAATGATTGATAAGTGGACAGTTAAAAAGGAGTAATTAAATAGATGGCGTTGCAAATCTTCAGGACTAATATGACACTTAGGAAGTTTTTGTTTGTCACTTTTAAGATACGTTAGACAGTAATTCTAATAGGTTACTCAGTGTAGTGGAGTTGCTACGCGTGTATGCAAGAAAATGTAAATAAGGTTTTTTAATTTAATGCATAGGAGTAGAATAACACCTTATCTAGTTATTTGTGTGTTTTTCTACGGGGTATTACATATGGATTAAGAGATGCTTTATGTTTCATGGGGAAGAGTAACATATATAAGTGATATGTTAAAAGCAGATCGGACGAGTTCAAAATTAATCGACATGGTCTGTACGGATTATTGATATTGTTTGTTGCCAGGATTTCGATGGACGAAGCAATAGTGGGTGATTTTATCGGAATTGATATCGGAACAACGAGTGTTAAGTGTTGCATTCTGGATAATAATAGCCGGTGAGGCTTCAATTTTTTTTGTCGCTAAAAGCAGTTAGCATTATGATTAAAAAACAATGAAGAGTATAAAGTTGAGTATAAAATTTCGTTGCGTCCAATTTTCCTTGGGTTATAAAGTATGGCCGAGCTATTGAAAATTTGAGAAATGTTTTTTATCAAATAAGATGTGGTTTTATAGTTCCATTTTTATTAAAAAGACAAATGATTATCTTGAGTAATTCTTTTCTAGAACTGTTATAATTAGAAACTAATATATCAGTTCCTTAATTTTATCCAAGCACTCTGAAATGTGTTTTTCTCCTATTCATTAGTTAATTCTTGCAAACTATGGCATTCATCTTTCATAGTTTCAAATTTAGGATACTTATGGAAAAATCAGCAGTGCACGATTCATGGCTGAAGCATGAATCGAATTTGCATCGTGAACAGGATCCTGTTAAAATATTAAGCGTTTTACATGATCTAATAAAGTCGATGGAAGTGAAGCTATCATTGAATGTGACAGTTAGTATCACAGGACAGATGCATGGTATCGTCTTTTGGAATGGACAGGATTTAGCAAAAGGTAGTGTGAAAGAAAGGGGAAAGTGAAGCTAAAAACATGCAGAAATTTTGTTTCCCAAATGACAGCACGAAAATTTTGAGCATTATATGAATGAAATGGAATTTGATGTGATCGTTGAAGGATGAAAGCAATAGTGGATAATTTTTAGGTAAAATCAACTGTTCCCCATTGATAACTTGGATGGATGAAAGAGTACCCGCGGAATTTGTCGGCTCGCTTCCGAGGTTTCACTTCCGCTTGATTTTCTTCACTTCCGTCATCAAAAATAATTTGTGTGCTTGTTCATTTTGTTCTGAAATTGGCTTTGTTAGTGTAACTTTTTCATAACGCATTTTCTGTTTGATCTTTTTACATCGACAAAAATGGTGAGATGTGACTTACAAAATTTTTTCAAATAACACTACTAATCACCAATTTATTTAGTGATTAATTTTATCCAGACATTGACTGATATGTACAGGTGGGATTGCGGTTGTTTGCACATCGGATTTGGTATGGTAACTCTTGCATGGCTTCATTCCTGTGATCAACTTGATGAAGCATGGACTTGCTGTGGTACCATCATGGATATGGTCATTTGTTACCTTTCTCAATCCCCTAATGCATTTATTGGTATTCAGAATGCGTATAGTTGGGGTTACTGCTCCTATAATGGGTATTGGACTGTACCGGTTAGGATTTTATTTCCTTCTCCTTTTTATGACAGTTTTTAAAAAAATGCGAAATGTAACTGACATATTTTACGACACTTTATCCTCTCACATAGCCAATGATCAGCTTAGATGGCTTTTCATTATAAAAAAAATCTTTCAGAATTCTGGGTATCTTTGCATAGTATTTTATATCACTCTTCTAATAGACGGTATTTGGAATATAACTGATCTATAAGTGCAGGACACTTCATGACAAATGACCCGTTAATCAGAGTTCAAAGTTGTAGAAAAATTGAGACACTGGAATAGTGATACTTCACATTTTATTGATATTTCAATATATTAATGCATGTCTCTGTTTCGTTGGTCGTGTATAGATAGCATGGCATGAAATATGGTATTGCACAGATTTTTCGTGCGAAAATCTCCTATGTTATCTTTTTTTGTAAATATTTTATTCCAGAATGAATTGGTTCCAATACATTTACTTCCAACGATTTGTTCAACTGAGAAAATTGTCGGTTTGGTAAAGCAAGCTAATTTTGGTTTACCAATTGGTGCAAAACTTTTAGCATCTTGCGGTGATCTTCAAAGTACCGTTTATCCATTGCTTGAACCTGGAATCGCTGGTACTTGAATTTCTACTAGTCTTTCAGTTCTCAAAAGAGTTTTGACATCGTTTTAACAAGAGAAAAGTATTTTTGGAAAACATCCGGCGAATGCAACTTTTTTAATAATTAAATTCCTTTCAATTCGTTTACTGCGAACAATGTTTCCAGTTTTTTTTAGAGACTTAACCTTGGATTTGGAAGTCCTTCAAAGAATTTAACTAGAACTGACCGGATGTTAGAGTACTAGCGTGTAATTTGATAGCACTTTTGCACATGCTTTTTATCTATTTAATTAACCATCTAAAACGTAATAATTAGCATGTTTAATCAGTTAGGAAGTATCTTCCCAATCTAAGTTTTGAGCTGTAAATGAATTTATGTTGCGATCAAAAATTGCTGATTTATAGGAAATTTGAAGCTTCTAACGAAAACTTAACTCATTTCATTACTTGTTCAATCTGTTTAGTATTAAATTTGGGAACATCAGCACAGTTATGTTTTTTACCAACGGTGAATCAAATGGTTTTCTCTCCATTTCTTACGAAACCATTCTTTGATGAGAGTGGAAAAAAGAAGATAATCGTGATCGCATCAATGAATGGCGGTAACGCCATTAATCTGATCGCAGAGGTAGGTGATTTTACTCATTTACATTTGTTTCGACAAATATGTGATTTAAGCAAATACATTTTCCATTTCAACTTTTATCCCAGAGAAAGATGAAATTTTGGGAAATATTCAGGGATTCAGGTTTTCGAAAAACTTTAGCTCTTCATAATTACTCTACAATATTCTTATATAATAAATGATAGCGTTGCTTTGCAGAAAATCGTTGAATGGGCCTCAAAACTTGTCTCAGGTACCAATGATCTTCAGATAGATTATGAAAAGTTAAGCAATATATTAAATGAAACTGGGAAGTGCTCGTCGTCTACAATTAATGTTCAACCAGTGTTTTTACCCGAACGCGCGGATAATATTTCGTCATGTATTACTGGAATCAATTCAAGTACCACAGTCGAAGAAGTATGTTTAGTGAAAATTCTACGTATTCAATTATAAGTCAGAAACAGTTTTTTGATAATACATCTCATGATATGCGTTTTCAGTGTGATACTAGAAAAGTAGATTTCGAGACTGTGATTGAAAGAATAAAATTTGCAATAAAATTTAATTTTACGCTCCAGCAGAAAATAAGGTGCACTGTTGAAATCTATAATGGAATGAGTAAGATTTTATTTCTTTCAATAACTTCTTGCATGTCCACAGTATATAATATTAAATCATTATTTTATCTCATGTATGTCTGCATAACGAAGACACATGAAGATACAACATGAGATACATGAGATACAAGTGAATATACGCTTACATCTGAATGATTAGACACACATACTAAATTTACATATTTTTTATAAATTTCATCGAACTATCTGTGAAAAATTAAGTTTTAATGATTCGAAAGCTTCTTTTCAGTTGCTACATTGTACAGCCTGTGGAATTATTTCCAATCTATTCCGTCTTTTTCCGCCTTATCAACTTCGAAAATGGGGAATTGAATGCATCAAATTAGCTGGCAATGCAAGTAGAAATTATTTCATCGACGAAATAATCCGCCAGTGTCAAGGATTACTCGAAATTTCCTCTTCATCTGATGAATATTCGAAATGCAGCTAACATACACCAAATAATGTATATATGTGTAATTTTCAAATATCTTCGAATTGCAATATGAAGCATAAGAAGATGGATAATGGTCAGAGAAGTGGAGGAAGAAAAAAAGGACCGTTGCATTTTTCCTATTTTATATCGTCTATCCTTCACATGTTATTTGTTATTCACAAAATGCTATTATTATATTGCATATGTGAATAAACATAAAATCATTCATTGCCTATTCTTATGAAAGAATGAACCTTCAATAAGTTTACATTAATTCATATAATTAGTTCGCATTCTCATTAGAATTATGCGATCTCAGTAAATTAACTGTTAACTGACGCGAAGCAACTAATCAACTTCCTCAAGTTGACTGTAACATGTGATAAGTGATGTATTATAGGTCATGTGTAAAATAACATGACTGTTGTACTTCTCTTCTCCTTCCTGCCTCTTCCTAAATTCTTTCTCGTTTCACCGGAAAAGGCTATATTACAAAAGCCACGCAAAATATTGCGCTATTATTTATGTCATTGTGCGCAACATTATTAAATATTAATTAAACATAGAAGAAGCTAATGAGCATAAAAGCATTGAGGAAACTAAGGACTTGGCAAAACAATAGGCATGAATTGGAAGTAAGAAATTTGGTGGAAGAATTATTGCGAATATTTGGTAAGGCAGGGGAGATTCTTCTATGCAACTTGAAGTTATAGTAATAAAACATATACAATGGATCATTTGGAACTGATAAATTTATCATAAGTTTTCCAAATTTTATATTATTCTTTAATATTGCACAAATTAAATAATTTATATCTTTGAAATTTTAGTACTTATAATATAAATATTACTAATAATTATTTATTGTATAAAAAACAAAAGAGAGATTATTAAATTTTTCATCTCTTTTAAAGCATTATTTCATTCTATCAATCATTTGCTAATCATTTAAGTTTTCATTTGTATTTTTCCTTCTACTAACCAATAAATATCTATTTAATTATAATTTAATCAAATGAAATTTAAAGAGAAATTCTGAATATCTTCAGATTAAATGATCTTTCAAACTTTAAATTTCCTATCAATGATGTGGAAAAATCTTCCATCAATGATCCCTTCCTTACTCTTCCATTTCAATTCAGAAAAGTTTTCTCTTCTTTTGTTTTTGTCTATAAAAAAAATTGGAACACAAAATTATGATAATGAAAAAGAAGTCTAATCCTTTTTTTTCTCTTAATATTTTGTGAAATTTCGCGTAAGATTTCATTTTTCATTTCTTTAATTCAAATTTATTAAATTCATTGGTGCTATAAAAATTTACTGAAATTGATGATAAATTGATGGATGGATTAATAGCACTTCTGTTTTTCCCTTCTTCTTCTTCTTCTTCATCTCATTTTTTCGACATACATAAGAATTGGGCCAATTCAAAAAGCAATTAGTAGACTTTTTCTTATGATACGTTTGATTTTTTTGTTCGGATTGTCGTAAATTTTTTGGGATCAGAAGAATATATATATTATATGTACATATAAAAATACATATAGAAATATAGATTAAACGCTTTATTATGTAAGTATGCAACAGTTATGCAACAGAGATCATCTGTAAGAATAAAATTCAAATTGATGAATCTAAATTTTTAAAAGAATGAAATAAATTTTTGTTAATTAATAGTAAGTATCTTTTTAACCATTGTTTATTAAGAGAAGCTATGATAAACTAATGATTTTGATTAAATTATGATTGATTTAAAATCGAGATTTTTTCATATTTAGATTGCAGATGTCCGAAAAATTCTAAATGTTGCAAAGTTCAAATTGATTCTAATCATGATTACGATTTGTGCTTTCATTGAAGTAACTCTAGATTCTTGTGAAGAGAGAGGAAACATTAATTTGTAACATTTTTAAGACTTACTGTAAAGTAAATTCTATGCATTTGTAAAGTCTATACATTTTTTCTCTTCCTTTTTGAGAAATTTTTAAGCACTGTTTAAATTTGTCACCGTTAATTATTAAACGATAATTCTGATTACAATCCATCCTTCCTTAATCAAAGTAATTTTACATGGAATACTGAAGTTATCTTACCCATTACAGTAATACTTTCTGTATTCTTACTGTAGTTGCTCCCCAAACATGATTATGTATCTAAGATCAGTGGGAAATTATCCAGCAACCATCGGTAAATTGCACCCACCATTCGTCACTATTATTGCTCTGATTGTTACGACTTGCATACCACGATGAGGTCTTGCTTGTCGAATTGAATTTTGTAAGAAAAAATTGATGGTTTTCTTATTGTGCTTTGTTTAACAATGTCATCATGATATTAGGCCTGAAATGATTAGGCGATCAAAGATTTTGGGATCGAAATGAAGAAGGCGAAAGTTTGGAAGATTGTGGAGGACAGAGATTAATTAAATTATCTGTCATGAAAACGAAGAGAAAAATGATTTTATATCCATTAATATAGGCACAACAAAATTTTTTATGTGATTATTGTTTGCAAATTACTCATTAATTAAAAGATTTATTTGAAGCCACACAACAAGTGACAGAATAAAAGATGTCAAAATAAATCATTTATCACGTAGATAGTATCATGAAAAAATTTTAGGCTATTTCATAAAACAATTAAGATAGACTAGAAGATTTAGATTATGAATCAGAAGCTTTTTTCATTGTGTAAAGATTCATTTCATCTTTTGAATCATTTGATTATTTTCCCGAAATTTATCTAAATAATTAGATATCTTCAAAAATAATTGGATATTATAAATAATTAAATATCTTTTACTATAATATTCGACTCAAATATATTGCTGACATATATCTTTTTTGCATATGCAAATATTGCAAGTATTTCTAAGTAATGAAGTATTTCTCAGTAGCGAAATGATGAAATTTCAGTTATTATTAATTAAAGTAATAATTTATAAATAATATTTTGTATTGTTGTTGTTGAAGAAAGTAGTCAAATACCTTCTTCTTCTTCACTAATACGCTTATCTCCAATCTTAGGAAAGAAAATTGAACTGAAAATTAACATTACAGTAGTCTACTCACTATCCTTATTTATTATTATTATTTATTAATTATCTGCATTTATAATTTTTCTATTTGAAAGAACAAAGATGAAGATTTTAGATATTATAACTATTATCATAATTATAATAATTATTATTATTCTTATTCTTATTATTATTATTGCTGATAATTATTACAGTGTTAAGTTTTATAAATGGTTTAAAACTTTTACAGTAATGCTTCAACTTTCGCTGTTTGATAGATGATAAATATTGATAAAATATTGAGCAGAATTATTTCTAATGTAATAATTTGATATCAATTTCACTTTATGATTATTTTTCAATTTTCCTTGACTTATCGATTCTAAATAGCCAAAAAAAAGAAAGCGAAGATAATTATAGTGATAAACTGTTTCGCTCGTTTTATCATTTCCACACTTTCATTCCCCTCCCTTATCACAGTCATACCTTCTCCTCCTCCTCCTCTTATCCTTAAATAAATTAATAAGATAATATAATTTTATTTCATCTCTCTTCTCCTCAAACTATAAAAGGAGAAGGATGGAAGAGAGAAGGAAAGAGAGAGAGAGAGAGGAAAGTTGTTGTATGAGAATTAAAGAGATGAAATGGAGGGGGAGGGGAATACGGCGTAGTAAATTAGGGCAAGAGTATAACTGGTGGTCTGAGAAGACTCACGTTCTGTAAAACTTAAACGGTTTGGTGCATGTGATGAATGGTTCATTGCTATCTGTAATCATCTCTTTGGCTATTGCTATCATCATCATCATATCAGTTGCTGATGGGAATTATCATCCTTATTCACGTGAGTACAACTTTCATACATATATACGTGAAACGTATTTTTATATTTCAATCTTTCAATGTTGCATTATTTATGACATAATGAAAATTTTTCAAATGATCATTTCTATAATAACCGGTAGTAATGGGAAAATTATACTGGAACATCTGGTAGTATTATTGATTGATTGTAATATTAAGAATATTAAATAGTTCTAGTTGATTGCGCAATTAGTCACCTCTAACTTTTAATGAATTAAAAGAAATTTAAAAGGTTTTATTTGATAGATTTAAAGAATAGATTTTGTTTCAATGTATATTACGAAAGTGCTCTCAAATATATTCTTAATGTGCTGTGTGACCTGCAAATAAGAGAAAGATAGTAAATAAGTTTATATCAATCCCTTCAATGTGTAATATTTTCATTAATTTTAGTAAATACCAAAATATTCTTAAAATATAAATTAGAATATTAAATCGAATATTTAATTTAATTTAATCTAATACTTAAATAGAAATTATAAATATAATTATGCTAAAAATTTTTTCCAAATTATCGCAATTTTGGAAGAATTTTTGGGTAACAAATGAATAGAATAAAAAGAAACAATAGTTTAATTAATAAAACTTAAGTTAATTTTAGTAAAGAAAAAAAAACAGAAATTGTTAATATAAATTGATGATAACTAGTTGGATATAGTATTCAACGATGATTAATTCAAACAGAATGAATGATTTAATTTGTTATTTGAGGAATGTTTTTTAATTTCGTAATATTTCACCTTTTTTTCTTCTCATTAAAATTCAATTGAATTTTCGTTTAATTTAATGTCCATTTCAAATTGTTGTAAATTCCATCCCTTTTTTCTTTTCAAATGCTTTCCACAAAAAAAAATGATTCTTTTTACCACCTCAAATGGTTGACAAATTTTAGGGAATGACAATTTTTACGGTCATTTCGAATTTTTTCTTTCTTTGCAACATTTTGCAACAAATATTTTGAAGTGTTTTGAAATTTTAAATAAAATAGAATTTTCTTTCTACGTATATTTTGCCGCTTAATTTGGCGAGCAATAAAATATTTCGAAATTCTAAATGAATGATAAGAAAGAGAAAACATAGCAATGATAAAATTTGTACTGATAATTTTGTCCTTTAGATGCTAACACATTGTAAGTTGAATAGGTGATATTTTAACATTTTCTATACAACAAATGCAATGGATGTATGAAAAGAAATGAATCCAGAAAAGAATGAATGTTAATGAGATCACCTGCACATTATTGCAGATGATAATGACCTATCGAGAATTTATTTTGCAATATATGTCGTATATAGAGAATCATTAAGGAAATGAAGACTTGCACAACTCTTTTTTTTTTACACCTTTCTTTACATCTCTCTTTCGGCTAATCAAAGAAATAAAATAACAATGATAATGATTACAATCAAAGTTTCCAAATATATTAATATATTTATCATTTAGATACTTATCATTGATCATTAATTATCATTTAGAAGTCTTATTGTTTAGATTTAAATTAAACTTGGAAACTTTTGTGTGTGTGGAAATTTTGTGTGGAAAATTTTCTTCCATTTATTGTTTGTAATGATTGCGGATAAAGTAAAAATTAAAAAGTATTAATTCTGTTGTAATATTAATTAAATTAAATGCCATTATCGATTAGATCAATAAAGTTGTCATCATGAAAATTAATTTTTTACTTTCGGAGCTATCATTAGTTGACAAGTCTGAATAAATTTTAGCCTATGAATTAGAAATGAAAGAAAGAAAGTTTGGGAAAAATGAATTGCTCGTTGATTTGAACTATTTCATTTTTCCATAATTCTCTTCCTAATTCCTCTTCTTCGTTATTTCTTTTCCCCTTAATCATAAAATCTTTCATTTCTTAACTTATTTTGCCACCTCTTCCTCTCATCTATTATTATCCTCAAGAAGGTGGCAGGAAAAAAAATCACAACAATTCTTCTTCTTTTCGAAAATTTTATTTATAATCAAATTTACACATAAAAAGATTGAAATCAAAATTTTTGAGCATATTAAAATGATTATCTTTTAACAAATCATTTTTCATTAAATTCGATATTAAATTAATTTATGTTAATTAATTTTAGCTTTTAATTTGTGTAAAAGAAAAGAAAATTTTTCGAAGTTTTAGGTTGTGCTGGTACCAAATCGTTTTTTTTTTACAATGAATCAAATTGCTTTTCATTTCTTTTCTTTCTAACAATTATTGTGATAGGAAGTCATTATAGCAGTAATTCAGATGATTAATTAATTCATTTTATGAAACTTTAGTTTTATGAAACTTCTAACTTTCAACTATTTATCTCTAACATAGGAATTCGGTTAATTTGTCGTATCGACTAGAACATCAGATAATTTATTATCACTACAAAGTTTTTTTTCATGCCATAAAAATTTTGAATTGTTTTTTTTTTCAAATTCATTTATTATCACAAGAATGTATTGACAATTAATAAATGATTGATAGAATGCTGATAGAATAATTAAAATTAAAATTTTATTGCTTTTGTTTAAGTTGAATTGACATTTTTATGCGATCTTCTAAGTTCAATTTCTAGATTTGAAATTATCTTTTATCAGAAGATGATAATTTCATTTCTAAATTTATTCTTATTCTTCTTGAGAGTGTAGAAATGTAAATGTAAAAATGTCAATAGCTTATTTTGATAATTTCGATATCATATCATTTATTATCACTTTTCACTTGTATCAGTCGTATTTTTTCATTTTGTTGGAAGAGGAAATATTTTATGGAAAGGTTCTCAGCATGAAGTAATCAATTTCAATGTTGAAATTAAAGGAAAAATTTTCCTTTCCACGTGACTAATCCTATTCCTATTTATTATAATTTTAAATTCAATATGCTTGTTTGAATAGAATATTATAATCGAGCATGAAGTGTGAAAGAAGAGGATCGAAGAGAAAATGGATGAATGAGAGATTGAAAAGGGGTTTAGGGAGAGATCGCATAACAGGTTAGCTCTATTTCATTCGGTGAATACTTCATTGGGTCAATACTTCATCGCTGCTATTATAGGAATTGAACAGGTCAACTACCGACCATGCCTCCTTATCTAGATGTCACGCGTATCAGAAAATAGAACCTTTTTATAATAATAATAAATAACAATAATAAATAATAATAATAAATAATAATGAAAGAGAAAAAGAATTGAAAAAGATCTTATCACTCTTTGTTGCCTTAATTTTTTTCGATTTAAAAATGAAATTCACATTTTACCGCAGTTCATTTATTAACGAATGTGGAAATGAAAGTAAGGAATGCTAAAATAATATAATCATGCCAATATTATTCAACAAAATTGCTGACAATGTTTATAATTAATAAAACTTAATTTTATTGAACATATAAAATTAAGTTTTATTAATTTATCCTTTTGCAATTCGAATGGTTTTTTAATTGTGTCAAAAATTTTTTGCGGAAAATAATCCAAGATTTCATAAGTTCAAAGTTAGTTTAAAATTAAGTTGACTAAATCTCAAATTGAAATGACTGAAATTTAAATTTAATATTTGTGACCAATTTTTACAGATCATTACCGATATAAACGTCAGTTTGATGCTTCAAATACACCGCAGATTGATTTGAATATCACCGTACCATATGTCTTCAGTGCAAGATTGTATCCATTCGGTGAAGCCAAAGGTGATCAGATTCTGACAGGCTCATCACAAATCATTAAACTGAGCAAATCATTTAAATTTCTTGGCAAAGAATATGACGCTGTCAATGTAAATTTTCTTTATGTTAATTTTTCCAAAATTATTTTCTTCATGAGATACAAAGTTTATACAAAAATTAATATATTTTATTTAACATTAAGTAGTTAGTGAAGTTTTACTAATACGTTAATGTTCGATATGTCATATTAATTTTGTCTTATAATATTTAAGTTATAAGACAAATTAATATGACATGCTAAAGACTAGGTAAGAATCATTGTAAATAAGTAAAATTAGTTAATTATATTTGATGTATTCATTTCTTCCTCGATGAATACAGATTCGACGTGATGGAGCAATTGCTTTATCAGACGTGCCGATGAAACCCTCAAAATTACCATCCCCGCAACCGATAATAGCGATATATTGGATGCCAGCACAAGGTGGAAAAGTACATTACAGAGAATCAAACGGTTTGTTTCAGTTATTTTGATGTTATTTAATTTCAAATCTTCAAAGCTATTTTTAGATATGCAAAAATTGGAATAATAAAACTGTCATAAAAGAGTGAAAATATAACATAATGATTTAAAAAAAAAATCATTTTTTACTTTTCAGATTAACTAAGTTAGATTACTTCTTTTACAGAAATACTTGGAAATTAGTTATCAGAAACCTTTGTAATAAATATATTAGGCTTAATTTAATGTTTTTACTCTTATGTTATCTCCTTTTTCTTATTAGTAACATTCCCAAAGATCTCTCTCTCTCTCTTCACATTATCAGAAATGACAGGAAAGACTTTCATTCTGAAGATATTGCATCAAATATCTACGAATATATACATAGCGAATGGGACAGTGATGATGTTAGTTTGAAGAATTTGAAATCAACAACTGGCCGTAATTTCTATTTGATCCATTAGGATCATTTTATGAAGCAGCATTCTTTATAAAATCTTGTAGATTTTCGTCGAAACTGTAATGTTAGCCAAGTGATCGATAAGTTTTGCATGAAAGAATACTGTTTTATTTGTGATCAATTTATTGATTGTTTGTGATTTTTAAATAGTCTAGGCTCAAAAGTAAAAATTGATTGTTATAGGAATATCATCAAAAATAGAATGATTGTCCAATGTTAAAGTAGTTTTTCTTTTTTCAGATTCATCATTATTACATTTAGTAGAAAATGAAGTAAATATTCAATATCATTATGGATCAGCATTTAAACCTAATGCAGTACTTATTGTTACCTGGGAAAATACTCATGAAATTACAGAACCTGTAAGTATTACCGTATGCTTAATTCTTCTCATGCATGTTATTAAATTTAAATCAATTCTTTCGTTTCATTATTTCAGAAGCAATGAAATTTCTCTTTATTTTTTATATTCAAAATGACTAATATAATATCATCATAAAGTATAACATATTGAAATTACAGAATCTAGAAGGTAATTCATTTCAAGTGGCGCTGATTATGAGCGATAGTGGAACATTTGCGCATATTGTTTACAGAAAACTGAATGCTAATAAAAATGCTGTGGTTAATTCTTTTGTTATATAGTAGAAATTTTTTGATTAATTAAAAATTAATTTTAAATTCTGAATTTAATTTATTTCATTGTTTTTCAAAATTCATTTATTTAATTGATTCATTTTGCTTGTTTAATTTATTAACGGTACTAATTGGCTATCTAATACAAAGAAATATATTTTCACAAATTTCCTCAGTAATTTATGTCTAAATAAAATGATAGTTTATTCTTTTAATTTGCAGGCAGGTTTCAGCGGTTTAGATGGGCATTATTCATTGCCAGGTTCAGGAACACAAGATGCAATAGAATTGGCGGAGAAAAGCGATATCGGTATACCGGGAGAGTTCTTGTTCCGGATTGATTCAGATCAAGTGTTTCTTTGTGGTGCTGGATATAAAGTATTTCTTTTTTGGAATATAATTAGAGAAATGCGAATTGAGCGTAGAATCTTACTGATAATCATAGTTATCTTATCCTTCAACGTTTCTCGAAATGACAATGAGAAGATGGGAATTGTAGGAAAAATTTGAAAGGTTTAAATTATTTCAAGGGACAAGAATGCGCTGAAACTTGTGGGAAGGCAGAATGGGGTCTTGATTGCGCCAGGCAGTGTCATTGTGATGGTGGCGCACAGTGTAATGCTGAAACAGGAGCATGCCCAGGTGGAAAATGTAATCCTGGTTGGACTGGAGCACCAATTTGTGAAGATGGTAAGTTTTTTTTTTTGAATAATAAAATTCCGAAAATTTAAAAGTTCTCAAAAAGATTTATTCAGGTGATAATTTTGCTATTTAAATAATTTAATAAATCGATAAGTATTAAATAGTACGAACCAGTTAGTACTTGATATGTCATCAATTACAGATGTAGACGAATGTGCAGAAAAAGATGATCTCTGCCCCCGAGAGCAGCCAGATTGTGTGAATACAGCTGGTGCATACTTATGCATTTGTTATGAATATGATAACACAACTAATACATGCAAAAGTAAGCAACATTTGAATTGCTACAAATGTATTTGTCTATAGTAAGTAATCCGCGAAAACTTACCACTCTCTCAGTTTCAATATATTTGTGCTTCAAAGTTACAATTGTTCTTAAGGTGCATTACCTCTCAAAAGCGGGAAAAGTGAGCTGATAGCAGTGAATATTGTTCCAGTGCAACCTGTATTAGCATCTACAACAGCTGCATCCAATAATCGAATAACAAAACTTCCTACTACGACGACAACTCAGTGGTCCACACTGACCACTTCTTCAAATGATTCTAGAACTGTCCAATTTACTCCTCTTCCTATTAAAGTAATTTCTTACTCATTCCAATGTTTCGTGATTATGTTATTCTGGTGCTGTTGCTTTTCTCATGAATTTTGAAAATTATATATCAATATTAGAAATCATTTAGCGTGGTATAATTTGATAAGAGTCAAATTATCACATCCAAAATTACCATTAGGGATCGTAAATTCGGTTTATGTACTGATTATTCGCGCAATCATTGTATGATCTTAATTGGACATACATATTGTAACTTTTATTTCAATTATTTTATAGTATGGACTAAATTGATTTTTTAGTAATGCATCAAAATTTAAATTAAAGTCAGAAAAATAGTTAAAGGAAGCAACGGAAGGGAAAGGTCCGGAACAATACACGTACTTTTTGTTTTCCCATGCTGACAGTTTTTTAATCATCTCAAATAACTAAATTGGCTTAAAATATTTTCAGCAAAATTAAATATTGCAGAAGAAAATTTTGGGTATTACTTTACCTAGCTGTCATTGTGATGAGAATGCGGAATGTATCGGAAAGGTGTGTAAATGTAAATCTGGTTGGACCGGTGATGGAAAATCTTGCATGGATATCAATGAATGCTTCGGTGAACCGAGTGTTTGTGGTGCTCATGCGTTGTGCGAAAACAGTCCAGGCTCATATAGTTGTCAATGTAACATTGGATATATATTTGACAATAATGGAAAATGTATTGGTAGGTTTTAAAATTAAAAAAGGTTTGCATTATATTGAAATAACGTTGTGACTATCTCATATATCTGGTATATATCATATATATCATACATCATATATCTCATATATCGTTTATTATTCGCTGACTCGATCAGATAAGTTTTTCTTGTATTTAGTGACTTAGTGATTTGATTATTCATTTCAAATTCTTCTTTTCAATAGTTAAATTTCAGCCGATCGCACGATTACTTTCGTCTTCTTTGTGGAAAATCGTTGCAGTGAGCAAATAAAAAAGAATGAAAGTAATATTGGAGAAAGATATGAAATTATTATTGAATTTAATAAATTTTTTTTTCAAATGAATATCTTCCAGATTTGGATGAATGTGCTGAAGGAATTGTAGTATGCGGTGGCAATAAGAATAGCTCTGTTTGTATAAATACAGACGGAAGTTATGAATGTCAATGTGCGCCTGGTTATGCTGGTAGTCCGGATAGTCCGCATGGTTGTGTGGGTATGTATGTGATCATAAGTTAAATTATCTGAGAATGATATATGCTATTTTTGGTGTAATATGAGATGGAAGAGAGATTGAAATTATTCATTTCGAAAATTAAGCAATAAATTTAGACGTGAATGAATGTCAACTATCGGACTTTTATTGTGGTGAGAAAGGAGTTTGCAAGAATTTAGTAGGCAGTTATGAATGTGAATGTGCGGATGGTTTTCAACGTGACCAATACACGGGACAATGTGTTGATATTGATGAATGCAAGTAAGCGAATTAATTTTAAACTTTTAAAAAATTTTCAGAGTAATGAATGGTAATTAAACTTTAGCATAGCATTTGATATAAAATGAATAATAATTTGATGTATTACTGATATATGCAAAATATTATGTCCTTAAATTAAAGTTGTGAAATATTTTAGGTATGATCCGTGTGATAAGGCAGCAATATGCACAAACATACATGGATCCTTTCGATGTGCTTGTATAGATGGATTCGTTGGTAATGGGGTCGAATGTCACGGTAGGTTATATATTATTGCTATGTACTATTGCATTTCTACTAACATATAAAAAGCTGTAATTTGTCCTCGAAAAAAAAGTTAGTTCGAATTACCTATCAATTCGGTTCGAATTACCTATCAATTCGGTATTCATAATCCAGAAAATTCAGGACAAGTCAATATTATAATCGAATTTACTGATTTCTAATATGTTAATCAGAGAAAATAAGTATTTTAACAAAAAGATAGTAGTGTAGTGAAAAAAAATTATTAGTCGGTTGTATATAATGCCAGCTGATAGACAAGGAGAGGCGATGATATCAGCTATTTTAATATTACAAATTGTGAGTAATGGTTCATTGCAGAAACGATCCTTTTCCCAATTGATAATCCAACACTTGAAATAGTTCCTCGAGTAAATGCTGTTGCTGATTACCTTATGGCTGCACCTCTTCAACTTTTTGGTCGAACTTATCGTACTCTTTATGTAGGCATTTTATCGTAAATATAATCACAAAAATTGTCAAGTCGAAAAAAAACATACTGTTATCTTAAAACCTTCAATGATGTAGATAAACTGATTTCAAATAGTAATATGTAATAGTATCTTTCTTTTAGTAAATATATTTTAGAATTACCCGATCATTAAATATTCCTGCATTATAATATTAAAGTTAGGTTGAGTTTTGTGGAGCTAATTTTTTTCTTGTGGAAGTGATAAGCTAATGAATAATAAATTTATTAATTTTAGATTTCATCAAATGGTGGAATAAGTTTTGGAGAGCCACTTCCATTAAAACTTGATGGTAATGTTCGTTTTCCAGCATTTTTACCACTTTATCAGCACTATGTCTTCAAGGATGGCTCAAAAGTGGTTCTGAAAGTCATTGATGGTTGGTACTTTTAGCTTTTTTCCTTATTTATTCCTTAATTTAAATAGAAGAATTGAAATTGCTAAAAATTAGCTTCGAGGGGCATTAAACAGCAATGGAAACGAATTGGTATGTAATAGATTAAATTACAAAATGTATCAGATTAAAATCGATGAAATGGTTCGATCCATAGTAATGAATAAGGCAAGCACATGTATTTAAAAATTTGGCATGAAAAATTTAATGATGCTTGATTCACTCAGTTTTTCATCACAAGGCAATATCCTCTAGCTTTGCTAACATTCTCTAATTCTATCTCTGATGCATCTCAAAGAGTTATTTAAAAAAGGTTTTGAAATTAAAAATGATATCCAGCTGTTTATTTTTGTCATAATCAAACATTAAATTATCGGATATGAAAATCAGATAAAGTTGAAGAATTAAGGAATAAAGTTTAAACATTCTCTAAATATTACAATGAGCATATTTCAGACACCGATCCTAAAGATTATACATTGTTGACTCGTCTATCCCTAAGTGTAAATAATAAATTTCATCAAAAAGATTTTCGCACAATTTCATTATTTATTATTTCATATGATCATATGTTACAAGCTGATACTGATCAGGTAATTTCTTGAATACTTTCAGCTTACAGTAGAATTTGTGAAATGAAACAGAAGAGGAAGAGATGAAGCATAATTCAAATTTAAATTAAAAAAAATTTCTTGCATATGTTATTTAAACATTTATAAGTTAAAGAAAGTTTATCAAAATATCTGATTATTTTCCTCATAACGATATGCATAAAATCAGAGAAAAGTTATATTGCAATGCGAAATTTTCATCTTTTTTTTTCAATTTTGTTATGTTCTATCGAATATAACAAGATTATGTGATCTGTCTTATGTATCGAATATATATTGTCGATGGATAATTGCAGGAAAATTCGTTCCAAGTAGTAATAGCGCGTGGTGATAATGCGACATTTGCTATGTATTTATTTGAAGAAATCGAATCTGACAGTGGTTTGAGTGGATTCTCGTCAGGAATTGAATTTTTTGAGTTGCCTTTTGAGATGTTGGCTAATCGATCAAATATCGGAGAGCAAGGAAAGTGGTTGTTTCGAGTTGATGGAATTTTACCGTTACATTGTCCAGCTGGTACATTGGATCCACCACTATGCCAGAAAGGTTGTTAATAATGATTTCGTATTTTCATCAAATTTCATGATAAATTTTAGTTTATTGAAAGGAACTAAAGAGATTCAATCATAAATCAACTGTGATAAATCATTGTAACAGCAAGCGTTCTCAAAGAGTGATGCTTCGATACATAAGTAAGCCCAACAGGTATTGTTAAATTGTAATAAAACATACGCACTTAAGTCTGAAAGTTACGATTACATGTTTATCGATAAGAACTGACTAATCAATCGTATCGTATGATTTGACGATAGGAGTCGGAATATCTTTTATTAAAATGGCTGTTAATGATAATTTAACATTAAAAGATGCACTGTAGTAAATCATTCCATAATTAAGATGATTCCAGTTGGGTTTTTGTGATGCCTCAATGAAAGTGTCCACTTCAGAGTGTGGTGCAGGTACGTGGGGATTCCGTTGTGAGAATAAATGTCACTGTCGTAATGATATTCCATGCGATTTTGCAACCGGATTCTGTTCCAATGCTCAATGCGCAGATGGATGGACGGGTGTTAGTTGCTTAGAAGGTAAGGTTATCAAATTATTCTCAAAAAATATTGAATTTTGAAAATAAGAAAATATGCTTTAAATGAATTTGATTGACTTAAAATGATTACAATTTTGTTTTTATCACTATATAATTCTTTCCACAATTTCTGCAATGATAATATAAACCGTTACAAAATCATAAAGATACAAGATCATAAAGCACAATACATTCCACTACATCAACTAATCTGAAGATCGGATATAATTGCAGTTCATGATAATTGCCCAAAAAGTTATTTCGTTAAATTACTTATTGGTTGAGACTATCAGCAAAATAACGACTAAATCTTTAAAATTATAGATGTGAATGAATGTATTACGGAAAGACATAATTGTTCATCGAAAGCGACATGTATCAACGAAATCGGAACATATCGGTGTAAATGTAATGAACTTTTTGTGGGTGATGGCTTCTCATGCAAACGTATGTCATACATTTTTAAATAACGAAAGCAAAATGGATGTAGCTCTCTGAGTTATTACAAATTTAATGTTACTTAAATGACGGAATAATTCTCAAAACCCGTTGCTCCCAGTAACGTTATATCTTTTCTACTTTATAATTGCCGTAAATTTAACGATAAGTCGAGAAAGATCGAATTTTGGATAGAAGAATCAAATATGTTACAGAGGTGGATGCATGTTATTTACGATATAAGGAAAAGTGTTCGGTAAATGCCGCATGTGATGAAAAATCACCGGAAGGACCGGAATGTGTCTGTAATGATGGTTATCATGGTGATGGCTTGAATTGCCTCAGAATTAATGCTCCAATCGGTTTGTTATGTTATTCTTATTTTTTTACATTTTCTGCTGGGCTATTTTAACAAGTTCAAAATACGTGGAATGAATAGAATTTATCAAAAGTTCAATTCAATAGTTTTAATAATTCAACGCCAAATTTTAATTTTCAAGAGAATTAAACTTTTCATTTATTTTAATCTTAGAATTTTATCTTTATGAAAATAAAAGAAACTTATTTAATCTAAAATTTGATTTACATTTTTGAAGCTGTTGTTGTTAAAAAAATTTTTGAAGTTCTTTAATTTTTGTTACGATGAAATTTAATCCTACAAAGTTGTAAAGCAATTTTCAGAGGAGCCAATAACACCAATCTTGGATAACGTAATTACGGACATACCACTCGGAATACCCAAAAGTGTTGAAATAGATAGTGATATGGAAGAAACACCATTCTTAATGCATAATTGGGTCAATGAAGCAGTAAAAATTAGCATTTCTTTAATCTTTTAAATCTCTAACTTTTATATTTGTCAAAATTTTACGACTACTTATAGATTCAATTAGTTGATAAAGAATGAAAGAACGTTTTGAATGACAAAACCATGTTAATACTATTTTTATCAGATAAATACTGAATCAGCGATACAGAAGCATCATAAAGAAGTAAATATGAAGATACGTACAACAACTACTCCACCTATTGCCAAAGATTACAGTGATGTCGGAAATGAACTTTACGTCGGTGGTAAAATAATTGAGGAAACAGATAACAGTAGCAGTAAGTATTTTATTATGAGATATTATATTATGAGATTGAAAGCAAATTGTTCAATTTCAAAATGCTTTAGTAAACAGATCTGATATTGTTATATAATACATTTGTTATTAGTTCAATTTTTATGGACCTATCATTTTCTTTTTTTCAACGAAACTATCGTTTTGAAAACATTCTTGTATAATTTTCTCAACTAATCCATTTTTTTGACAAACTTAATTAGTCACAGAAATAAATTGTTTATGTATAAATATTGAATACAAGTAATTGAAGGATGGGATGGGAATATTCTTAGTTAAAAGTTTGAAATTGAAACATTTTTTCCAGCCTTGTTTATTGTGGTACCAGTAGCCTTATGCGCTTTATGGTCTATCATTATCGTTATTGTCCTTGCTGTATGCTGCCAGAAGAAGAGGTTAATTTTCATTAACACATTTATGATTTGATAATGAATTATTGCAACACATTTTGATTATTAAGTGTAAAGTTCATCCAGTGAATGAACTCTCTTTTTGAATTTTAGATAAATTTTTGAAATTTTATTTCTCAAATTTTGAACAGTTATATATAAAAAGTTAGTTTAAATCTTTGTTAGCAAATATGTTTATTTAATGCCATTTAGGAAATTACCGTCACCGTTAATGTGCCAAGATCCGGTAAGTATGTCCGGTTGGAGGAAGCCTCCGCAAATTCTGAGTACATATCCTACCCATTTCACTGCTCAATACTAGTTGTTGTTTTCGTTTTGCTAACTTCTCATTGTGTGTTATTGTATAAATATCATTACGAGTTTATGGTCTCTCCTTGTGAGGTCCGAAATTTCCACAAGTACAACTTCGTTTAAAAGATGAGCACAAAAATAAGAATGTTCTCTCTTTCGTTCCGCCTGCCGCATGATATTGCTGCACGTAGCCATGTACTAATTTCCTTAAAGAAATTCTTAATATCAGCCGATCCATTACTTAGACTACTAATTGTCTAGATAGACTGATCTGGACTGATCTGCATACAGCAATGTGTTCGAATGGCTTAAATCTTTCAACAAATTTCTTCACTCAGAATTTGTAGATTCTGCTTCACTTATTTGTGTAAAATATCTTGCCGGATCTGATTCAGAATGTGATATCCGTTAAGAAACTAATGATTCTATTATGATGTCTGTTCGAAAAACAATGAAAAGAAGCATGGATGATTTCGAAATCAATTGAATTATCCGTTTGCTATGCAATGGTTGTTTACTCTATCTGTGAAATCTTTATCTTTTTCTTTATTAGATTTCAATTCTAAAGATGGAAGGGAAAGATTACACTTATTAGTACTGTATATTTGTGCCATTTTATTTCCATACTTCTCTAATGATTAATGGTATCACTGTCTTACTGACCAAATTTTAATAGTTATAGAATTACCACAGATTTGTCACAAACAGTATCTCCTCGATAACAGTGATAACTTGACTTGCATATTCCTTCCTTTGCCTGCATCTAATTTTGCCTTGTTTTAAGCCATAAATAAAAAAACAAGTATTACAAATATATTCGCTTCGGAGAGTAGATCCATATTCTCATCGATGTTGCAGGAAAAAAGAAAATTAAGCAACAAAAAATTGATATGAGAACAATCGGGAAGACAATAAAAGGTCTTCCCGATTGTATAGGAATGATAAAGCAATTATCAGCGATCGGTCAAGATCAATATCAATATCGCACATAAAAAGGAAAGCAACAATTGAAACTCATTCGAAAACACTGGACAGAATAAAAGTGATCATCCGCAAAAAGAATGAAATATTTTAAAGTTTTTCTTCATCTTGAGTGGGTGATCAGCCAAGATTGAATGATAGAATCAATAGTTATCATAGTGAGTAAGAGAAGGTTATACTGCTGATGGAACGATTCATTTCAATCCATTTTTAAAAAGATTTCTAAGCTCTTTTTCCTTCTGCTTGTAAAAAAACAATAAATTTGCATATTTGTCATCTCAAACTTAACCTTATTTAATAAAGTGGCGGAAAAATGTATGAATCTTTTAGTTTGTAATTTGTATTTGTTGTTTCTTTTGTTTGTAGATTCCAATCTTATAGTTGATGTACTTTCATTGCTTTTTCCCATTTTTTGTCACAACTTAAAAATTGAATTTTGAATACTTCAATTAGGAGATAATTAATACTTCCTCGGATTCATCCATATGTGTTCCCAAAATGCCCTCAATTTGATTTAGATATTTTATTAAAGTGAATAAGTGCAAAGGGTATATTCCTGAAAGCTCTAAGTTAAGATGGTTAAAGTGATCGAGTAGTACAAATCATTAAAAATTAATAGTTGAAGATCGGAAACCGTTTGCCTTACGGAAGCATCCTTGCAGACATTGAGAGAAAGTATACACATTATTAGTGACAAATTCTTGTCCCCAAAAAATTTGGTAGCAGAAATACTTAGAAAAAAAAATCAAGAATCAAATCGAACCATTATGGATAATCATTGGGATGATTGCTAATGAATGTTTTCATATCTTCCATATAACTCTGGAAAAAGGTACACATCGTTCCTTCGATAAGACGTCGCGGAATACCGCTCTGCAATTTGCTAAGCTTTTCAAAAAATTTCAATATTAATTCCACATTATACTTTTCTAACATTCAGTGTAGTGTTATTATATTGATTGAGTAATTATGTTAATTGTTTATATTCAAAAAGAGCAATGCATTAGATTTTTTAAAAAAGGTCTGTAATATATCATTAAAAATTTTTGAAACAAAAATACCAAATTATCTATTGCATTAGCAATATTAACACTATGCATTCTAAAATATAATTTAATTCCAAACTATTCATTAACCTTGACATCACTATTCTGAATCCATTCAATCTGAGACATTTTCGAATCACTAGAACTACGTGTCACGCGAACATAATTTGCTCCATTAATTCCACGTATGAGTTTCTGATTTCCATTTGATGGTACAATTGAAGAATCCACCGAGACGTAAACTCCTTCATACACATCTTTTTCAATATCAAGCATCATTCTACGAATATCCAAGAAATCTCTGCAATCATCTATTCTATTTTCCATTTCATATTACTGTATTCTGCGTTATGCAGAAAAAAGAACGGATGATATTCTTATTGGGTTTTGTAAGGAAGATAACTTTCTGGATTAAATTTATTCTGTTGTTCTATTCATAATTGTTTGAAATAGTCTGAAATTGGTTTCTTTTCCCTATCATCTGAAAGATTTCTACAATTGTCGAATGGATTATGATCAACCACCGAATCTCATTCATTGATAATATTTAATGAAGTAATTTCAAAACCAATACAATAAGCTTTCTTTGAGGTAGTGATACTTGAAATTCAATTCTTGTAGATAGCTAAAGGAATACTAAAACTAATAATCAAATTGTTTCCTAATCAATTCAAAATTCATCTTACAATCTTTTTGAATTTTTATAATCTATTATATCGAAAAAACAAGAAGCGGCTAACCGTGGTGAAATATATCCACGCAGTATTGGGGCAGTAGTAATATAGACCAATTCCGTAGTGGGATCAATATGAAGTAATACCTAGGAAAACGAACTTTTGAATTTCTATATTAAAGTGATCGTTTTTGAAATATAAGAAAATAAAAACGAACGAAGATTTGGAATATCAAAAATTCAATTGTCCTAAAAATGCCACAAAATATTGTGAAGTTTATTCTATTTTCCACTTACTATTTATTTGAATAAATTATTAATTAACTTGAAAAAAGATACTTTAAAGTCGCTGATTTGCTTGTTCCACAATTTAGTATCTTTCCAAATAATTTTAAAGAGGGATTTTGGTGAGCATGCAACTGTATCCTGAATAAAATAAACTTGCTTCTCTTTTGATACACGTATTTCTGGATTACTCCTGAAATTAAAACAAATAGAAATAATATTATTTTATTGAAATTAATTATTTTAAATTCGTCTCATATAATTATACTAGTTAAAAATTATTTGCGCATAAACTAACAAAGTTCACAATCTTCTGCCATCATAAAAATATTACAAATTCCTTCTATCTTCAACATATCTGACATTATACTTGAAGAGAAAATCAAATTTGCTGCTTGCTCTAAAACTGATTACTTGTGTAAAAGTTTCCAGGTACTGATTTCTGTTAACAGCTCCTTAGCTGTTAAATTTGCTCTTTCTACTTCTTTGATATATTGTGCTTTCGAATATACTTTTCCTGCAATCAATATCGCTGATAAGTTGTCATCATCGGAATCTGAAAAGAAAAATTTTTCGAGAATATCAGATGAGTATCATTCTCATTAGAAAATGAAGCCATTCGGATTATCGCATGAAAAGTAAATGTTTAGTATGGTAGTTGTGAGAAGTAAAATTATGGAAGACTTCTTAACTATTAAAATTTCCATGCAGAATAAAACGAATCATTAAATGACTCATTCATTCAATATAATCTATGACGTTTAGTTTTGCTGTGTGATATATCAACTCTGTTCTTATCAATGAATTACTTCTCTTTTCCTTTTCTTATTTGCATTTTCGGATCATACGATCTTTTAATCTCTATAATGCTAACCACAAAAGCTGATGCTTATCTGCAGAATACTTAAGATTTAAAAGGAATCAATTAAGCATCAGATGAACAATTTTTTCACATAGCTTGAAAACATTTATATCATTTTCCGCCATTCAAATATTGTTTTTCTTTGTTTTTATTGAAATGAAAAATTAGCTGATACGTACCAGAAGAACGTTCTATGGCTGAACGGAATTCCTCATCACTCTGCACATTTCGTTCTGAGACTTCTGAAGATGTATTATATTTTGGCATGATCATATAACCGCGTTCACGTGGCAACATATGAAATGGTACCAACCAAAGCTGGAACCAAGCAACCACAAATGAGGATACCAATACCGTGTATTGAGGCAGATTATCCTGAGCTGGCGAGAAAAAGAATAATGCCTAAAAAAGCACCATTTTAAGGTGTAGTCTAAAAATTAAAATTTAAATATTAATTAGATAGTTCCATCCAATAAAAAATGGTTTGTGTAAATTTTGCAGATAAAGATAATTTACAGAAGTGCTAATGAATTTTCACAGAATAAAGATACAGAAAAGTTAAATGAGAAATCTCTTGCAGAAAATAAAGCAGAATTTTAGAGTTATGCAAAATTTCATTCCAATCTATTATCTGATTTGAAGAAGTAGAAAAAATTTCAAATTGAGATTTGAATTAAAATTTATTTTTATTTTATACCGCCTTATCATATATTCAATCTTCACTCGAAGTTATTTAAATTTTATCCAAACTTTCTTAATTACTTTTGTTTTTCCTTACATCTATTCTTTCTTAATTTCAAATTTTTTTCTATCTTAATGCTCTTATCCCTTTTTTTTAATGTTCTAATAATTATTTTGTTGAAAATTTGAATAAGTAGAAAAACCTTCACAACGAGAAAAATTGTCGTTGTGATTGTTGTGATGGCAACTGGAAGCCAATGTTCAATTAATAGGATTGAATAGAAAAGGATGAGAATAGACATACGAATAACTGCTGTGATCTAAAATAAAAATTAACATTCAAGCCTTTCCTTAACATAAACTCTTATCATATCTTTTCTTATTGTAGAAAGTTCGTTTCAACCAATTCAAAATAAAATAATAGTAAAGCAATGTGAAATATCTATTGACATTGTAAATATAAATAGGAATTATAGTGATATTTGACAGATGTCTACTTATCTATTTAAATAATCAGTGTTTTGTAGAAGCAGAATCACTTACGACAACGTCAAACAATGAAAGCTTCATGAAATCTGGTTGAGAAATGTCGACCTCACGAAAAAATATTACAGGCCAATCATCGCCTTTGCTTACCTGTAAAAAGGAATGCATTTATTCAAGTTTCTACCAAAATGATACTAAGAAATAGCCCTTTTCTGCTATTCACTCCTTCTGCGATCCCTCACTTCTGAAAACATCACTTTGATTCATTAAAAAAAGACTGATATTTCGATGTTTTTGAACTTAAAATGAGCCAATCCTAAATTTAGCATTAGCCAAAATTATCATCATTCAATAATTATTTATAGAGTGATGAGTGATTTTGTCTAGAAAAATGCCTGTTTACCGTAGAAATGACCCATAATAAAGCTGTAAGACACACATCAAATACTGTCACCACCGTGAATCTTCGACGATCCTTAAAAAAAGAAGGAAGCGTTGTATGAATTTTTATCAAAATGCCACCAAATCTTCAAGAGTTAAATTGATGAGATCTGACATTGTATGCAAAAACTTTATCAATCGTTCAAGTTGAATATTTGCAGCCTAATTTATTTTAAAAAATTAATTTTTTAAGAATAATCTATCGAAACTAGTCTAAAAATAATTTATGAAATAAATTAGGCTCTAAACATTCAACTTAAACCATTGATAAAGTTTTTGCATACAACATCAGATCACATTAATTTATCTCTTGAAAATTTGATTTAAAGAATCAATTTCTATGTTATGAAAGAATGATGCTTATAATTATTAGAAAATGAGAAGTGGTAATGATATCATTGAAGATAAATTTTTATCAACGTTATCATATTGATAAGAATGAAAGGGATTAGGAAGATGTAAATTATAAACTAACTTTACTTATCCGTGATTCTCTAGACAAGAAGAATTCCTCGGTACTGCTCATCTTCTTAAACAATGTAATTTGATTCTCTTCATTATTTTTTGTCAAGCTTTTGTGTTCATCAATGCTACTCATACGTCTAACTCTATCTTCGCCAAACTTTGTTTACCTAAAAGGAAAAAATTCACTTTCAATTAGATATGAACAATTATAAGAAGAAATTATCATAGCTAATTTTAGACTTTGCCTTTCTCTTAATCTTTTCTTTTCGTCTTTTTTCTTTTTCAGATAATTAAAGTTCAGTGATAATAAGTTTAGTGATAAGCTCAGAGCAAATAATGTAAAATACAGGTTAATTAAAGAAAGATGAATCAAACAATCAGTTACTTATTCGAATAAAATCGCAATAGCAAAACAATCAAATTTGATTGTAAGAGCTGGAAAAGTTGAAAATAATATTATCTGTCATTTTCGGCACTATTTGAATGCAAGCAAATATGTAAGCCAAAGTAAGCAGACCATTTATTGTTAAGAAAATTTTAACAGAACAAATTTTTGATTGATAAAAGATAAAACTCCTACGGAACAGTAATGAATACCTTGATCGATATGATAAAGCTCGATTGCAACTTTTAAATTTGAACTGTGAAAAGAAAATTAAAAGCTAATATATTTACAGACATTAACAAAGAATAAAAGGAAGGAAGCAAAATTTTAAATGTACTTATCTCCATTATCAGTGGAATTACAAAAAAGTTCAAGTTTCGTTCACTCTCTCTCTCTCTCTCTCTCCAGCAATATCACCAATAAACAGTATTCACTGATAACGTTAATAACACTCTTATTCAAACATCCACTATAGTATATGCATAGCAATAGTAATGCTCTTCTCATCAAGCTCTTCTACATATCTGATAAACAATTATACTTTTAAATTCTCAAAAATTCTTATAAATATAGAAAATTAAACTCAAAATATATTGGTAATATATAATATATCAGTAATGGTTATCTAAATCGATAACAATGTTACAATTTTCGAATACAAAATTTTTCATTTGAGATAATTAACTGAAATTTCATTTACTACGATCAAATCAAAAAGGCGAAATTATATAAAGACGAAGAGCAATCTACTAAAAGAAAATTAAAAGGGAATTTACCACTTCATTTTGCTTTATTTGATCAAATTATATGTAACCTTTCGGAGAGCGTTTCGAAAGTATCATTCCGCGTAACTATTTTTATGGATGAAATAAATAATTCGTTGGTTATCGAATGGGAAGCTTTGCGGTATCAATATCATTAAACTTTTCTACTCAATATTGACAGCGCAATCGCGGAAACTGCAATTTTCACAATTGTATTTCTTAAATTCCTTTTTATTTCAGTATTTCTTAAGCTCTTCAAGTTCTTTATATGTAATAATCTAACAATTGTAATTATCACACTAAAATTGTCAAATTTTGATTTCTAGACTCTCACATTTATTTTATATCGAAATTGCTATAGCAGTTTCAAGAATTATTTAGTTCAATGCATATACATATGTGATCATGTAATTGTTCTTGCTGTATATTAGCTAACTTTTCAGTATGGCTAAGATGTTGTATTTGACAATTTGTGGCGAACAGATGATCAATTAATATGCAGCTACCGTTAATCAAATATTGTAACTTAAACTAATTTGCATTGAAGAATAAATCTAAATTGCAACTTAACGGCAGTGCAGCATTATAAACTCTGACCAAGTTACTTTATCAGAGATGTTATAACATCCGTGATTGTTGTGAATATAGTCATTAGCTTAATTCGGTTATATAATTATCATTATATCAGAATGAATTAATTTAGATTCATTTCTTATTCGACAAATATTTCTTGCTCATTTGATTTCATTTACATGTCATTACAGTAAATGGATGGGTATACAAATAAATTTGTTCACATTTCGACAATTTATTATACTTTTTTTTTGACTGTAAATTTCTCTTCTCTTATCATCTCATCCAAATGCTATGACATGTGAATGTTTATCTATGCGTTGAATACGACTTTGTGGAGGGCCTTGAAAGCTTAAAAATAAATGAGACTGTCAATGGAGGCAATAACATGAACCACCGATGCGGAAGGGGAAAAATGAAAAGAAAAATTCTATTATATAATATATTTTTTTGCAGTGAAATCTTCTTGCATATATTTCAAATGTTAACAATGTCAATAATTACAAGATGTTAGAGTACAGTAAAACTATGAGCAAATATTATCTCGTTTCCGGAATCAGCTGACGATTCCGTGGGATAGTAAAAAGGATAGTAAAAACATTGAAATTTAACACAATCATTATCATTATACTCTCATCTGTTTATTTTAATTTTTAGAATAAATTACTTTTTGCTAATACATTTTTCTTTTAAGAAATTTGAATTTTTCCGATATTGAGTGATTACATGGTAGCAGAAGCTGATATCAGTTAACAACACTTCGTTAGATGAATTTATTAGTGTCACCTAATTCCAAGTTATCTGTTGATTGTATTTCTTCTTCTCATCAATTATAATACTGTGCCGATATTATAATTGTCGACAATTCATTCACCACAATGTTTGCTATCATTCCGTTGTTCATTACAGCAATTCCACTCTCATTACTGTTAATATATTACTACAGCTGCAACCATCGTAGTGGTAATCAGTGCTATTGATACGAATCCAAAATATCGGTTTAGTATCATCGCTCTTGAAGAAGAAGATGACGAAAGGACTCACAGCAGTATCTTACCCCGACCACTTGTATATGTCACCAAAATTAAGAGTCACAGCTGATGAACACCGAAGTAGAGACCTCTTTCTTATTTCTATCTTCTCCATTCCCTTCCTCTTCCTCTTCTCTACCTTCGTAACCTCACATATTTGTATGACCCGTACTTCGATATATCGTCTCATCCCAGTGTCCCTCTCTTATTGACCGAAATTCTTAGACATCGTTATTATTTTCGTCAGTGTTGTTTCCATGTATTAGTCGTTACTGCTGTGGTGTAATTACGAAACTGAACTTTGAATACTACCAACTCGCCCTTCCGGAAATTCAAGACAACCTTTTCCTGAATTTTTTTTTTCGAATAAAGTAATTCGAAGCTTTCTTTTGATTTCCCTTTTCACTGTCCGAACAATCTTCTTACATTAGCAATGGATCATTGCAATCTTATAAATCTCTCATCACGCACTTTCGAACACCGATACAGAAATTTCGCTGGATCGATTAGTACTTTCATCGAGGTCAGACATTAATCAATCATGGCAATCGATCGTATTAATGTCATCTTCATGCCTTTGTCCGAAAATACGAAATGTAAAGTAATGCATCAATTGACCTGGAAGTTAAATAACTCCTATCAATCGTCAGCGATAACGGATATTCGCCACCGTATCGTCTGCAGTTGAATGCTGTTCTGGTGAAGATCGCAAGGTTTCCTTTTTTTAGTGATATTATATTAATGAAAGGTAAACCTTTAACAGTTATCTCCTAAATTTGTAATAGTCTGCTAGTGGATATCGATTTCTTTTTAGGATTCATAAATATTATCATTTCTTCTAGTTGAAAAAATATCTGTACTAAAAATTAAATATCTCTAATTATCATATCATACACTTATCTTCTACCTTCTATCTAAGGTTTACTAAACCATAATCCATTTATTATTACAAGCAATTTGAAATTCACTTTTATTCAATTTCACATAAAAATTTATTCTTCTGATACATAAAAAGGAAGACGCATCAAAGGCGAAGTTTTTCAACTGATCAATGAATACACTTCCTAATTCATTTTTCATTTTTTACACAACACGGAAATATGTGCATAGTTTCGATTTGCTGTATAAAAGATTTCTCAGGAAAGAAATGCTGTTAAAATGAGTAAGGAAGGGAAAGAGAGAAAGAGAGAGAGAGAGAGAGGTTAAAATTGAAAAAAGAGAAATGAAAGAGAAAAATGATTCTAACAAATCAAATAATGACAACTTTTTTTATCGTAACAGTCAACAATTTTCCAATATATTTGATAGTAATTTCTATAATTTTTGGATTTATACTTTTAAAAAATTTTCACGATGACGTGATTCACGATTTTTTGAAGTATTACGCGTAGCCGAATAATTATTGTTGATTGTGAGAAGGTCGAAATTTCATCAACACTCTTCTCATTTTTCTAAAACAGAAAAGTTGAAGATAGGATGAGATGTTAGGATTCCGGAAAATTTTGAATTCGTTAAATAACTTCATTAGATATTGACCATAAGTATCTTTGGTCGCTTAATGCAAGGCATCATTTCCGAATATTGGCTATGCTAGGATCGTTATGTTGAATGTAATCGCATGGCTCATAATACTGCTACATTGTTAAATCATTCCGTTCTATTTTCATTATGTAGTGCTTTCTGAAACATTGTTGTAATTACCATTAGCTAAAAGATTTCAGTGAGATTTATTTATTTATTTATTACGTTAAAAGTTGATGAAATTCAATTTGTAAAAAAAAAAAAATAATTTTAATCAAAGAAGGAATATTTGCCAATTAATTAATTTACTATTTTAATAAACTTATTTTTTGCTTGACTTTACTCCATTTTTCTTTTTTAAATGAAATAAATCAAACAACAACTTATTACTGGTTTCAGTTTTGATTTTGCGTCAGGAAATGCGTTATCATCTGAAATATTTATCTTATCAGATTTGTTCATCCTCATATAGATTTATCTTCCTTGTTTATCTGTTTATACTAGCTATTTATTGAAATAACGAAACTTCTCTCAACATACATTGTATAGATAATAAAAAATTTTGTTGTAATAGAAAATGAAAAATGGCGAAGTTCCCTTTCTTGCAGACGAATAAGCATTGCAAAATCGAATAAGTATTCGAAGAACAACTATTGTATAATCGAATATCGGCGGAATCTAGATCCGATAATCCGAAGGGATCGAAATCTGTGAGAAGCAGGAACTGAATTCTTGCATATCTTCCTTTAATAACACCTCTTAAATAGCAATAATATTTAGCATTGTACGAAATTTTGTTTCATACCTTCTAGAATTATGATCGTTCAAAAATTCTTTCTTAAAAAATTTTTGCAAATGT